AGGCAAACTGCAGACCTTTAAAACCTACAATGAATGTGTTAAACTAAAACCTTTTTGTTAAAACGTCACCAACAGGAGTCAGATCAGAGCAAAGTGGCCCGATTCTCTACGTCCGCTCAATCCTGCAGGATTTTTGTTAATATTCTCATTTTTCTGATTTTATGCTACGCAACTTCTTTGAAAGCAAGTTTTTCTTCTGCAGCTGTCCAGATGTTAGCAACAAGCTAGGAATCAACGAGCCAGGTGTTTAATAAACGTGTTTAAATAATCTTTTCATTCACTTGATATTTGATATAAGTTAATGATTTGCTTCGAGGAAACCTCATTTCATCAGTTTATTTTAAATCAAATTGGTTTGTAATTATTTGGCTAAATAAACCCAAACATTCAGACAAGAAGTCCCTTTTCTGTTCAAATAACACCAAAATAATTATTTCTGCCACACTAGCTGTAAAGGCTTCTGTCACAAAGGTTTCAATCAGTCAATAAGATTTTATTTATAAAGCGCTTTTCAAACAAAGTGCTTTACAAAATGACCCCAGATTCCCATAACAGGTTAAAACATTAACAGGCATATGCAAGCACACACATGCACACACACACACACACACAAGTAAAAATTATATTTGGTTGAGTCATGATGAGCCAAGTAAGGTAAGGCAAGGAAACGCCATCAGAGGAGCCGTCTGCCCCGGCAGCATCAGGTCTTCCACACTGAGTCAGGGTGCTCAGTGGAGGGGGAGCATAAACACCCACCTCCACTTAAACACTACCTAGGAGCCCAGGAAGCTACAGCCGACCACCGCCCCCGGGGCAGAGGTTCCCTACAGAGGAAACACTGGATTAAAATGAGTAAAAATATAATAAAAGAGCTAATATAAAAGGGACAAAAGTTAGAAAATAAGTAATAAATAAAATCATATAGACAGTAAAATAGGGTGGCTTGTAGAGGTGGGAAAAATGATTGATTCTAAGATGGATCGCGATTCAGCCGTGCATGATTCTGCATCGATGCAGCAACGTGACATACTGAGATTTTCTCCCTGTGTCTATGTCTATGTTCTGGATGCACAAGGACAATAAAGTTTTGAGGTTTTAAAACTACTTCTGGGGGCAGAGTTGCAATGACATGCGCACTGCGTTGCCCTAGCGCCAATTTAAAACAGAAAAGGCGGACAGGGATACAGGACGAACATCACCAGTAATCAAAGATGTACCCGTTACCTTTAAATCGGATGTCTGGGCTAATTTTGGTTTTGGGATCCTGGATGTGAAAGAATCACTTAACACAGTATTTGTTTACTATTTTTAAGTTCAGTAATATTCTATCTTAAAGCTGCTCTACCGAAAACATTATTTCTTATATTATTTAAGTAATTATAGGCAGCACACTTTAAAAATTGTTGCTCACTACAGTGAATAGATGAATGTTCTGTTTTTCAGGGATGTCGAAATAAAAAAGAAATTGAAAACTATTCTACTGCTTTTATTAAGTAATGAAAATTTTTGTGTGAAGAATCGTGATGCATTTCAGACTCAAATCGAATCTTTAGGCAGATAATCGGAATCGGATCGAATCGTGAGGCAGGTAGAGATGCACACCACTAGTGGCTTGCCAACTCCGGGTCGGGAGAGAGGTCCTACCTCAAGTGGAGGAGTTTAAGTATCTCGGGGTCTTGTTCACGAGTGAGGGTAGGAGGGATCGGGAGATCGACAGGCGGATTGGTTCGACGTCTGCAGTGATGCGGACGCTGAGCCGATCTGGCGTGGTGAAGAGGGAGCTGAGCCAGAAAGCCAGGCTCTCGATTTACCGGTCGATCTACGTCCCAATCCTCACCTATGGTCATGAGCTTTGGGTAATGACCGAAAGAACGAGATCACGGATACAAGCGGCCGAAATGAGTTTCCTCCGTAGGGCGGCCGGGCTCAACCTTAGAGATATGGTGAGGAGCTCGGACATTCGGGAGGGACTCGGAGTAGAACCGCTGCTCCTCCAGATCGAAAGGAGTCAGTTGAGGTGGTTTGGGCATCTGGTCAGGATGCCTCCTGGACGCCTCCCTGGGGAGGTGTTTCGGGCATGTCCTGCCAGCAGAAGGCCCTCGGGTCGACCCAGGACACGTTGGAGAGGTTACATCTCCAATCTGGTCCGGGAACGCCTTGGGGTCCTGCCGGAGGAGCTGGTGGAGGTGGCCGGGGTGAAGATGGTCTGGAGCTCCCTAGTTGGGATGCTGCCCCCGCGACCCGGACCCCGATAAGCGGAGGAAGACGACAACGACGATGACGACAACAGTAAATTAATATTAAATAATGAAACAATGCTAAAATATAATCATATAAAACACGCAAAGCAAGTAATAAAATATAATCATGTAAAACGAGAAATGAAACTGTAGTAAATATTTAGATAAAAGCTAACTTAAAAAGATGGGTCTTGAGCCTGGACTTATAAACATGAACGTTCTCTGCGGCCCTGAGGTCCTCTGGCAGCTCGTTCCAGAGGCGAGGGCCATAACACTGAAAGGACGCCTCGCCGTGAGTGTGTGTCCTGACTTTAGGGATGACCAGGAGACGCCTGCCAGAGGAGCGCAGAGACCGTGAGGGTTCAGATGGTAAAAACAGTTCTGAGAGATAAGAAGGCCCAAGACCATCAAGACACTTAAAAACCATCAGAAGAACCTTAAAATTGATCCTGAAACATACGATAAGATAACATTACTTTTACTGTAAATGTTATTTAAACCTACAATTAGGAACAGAACTTCCTTTGAACACGTCCAAGCGAGCCGTTTGCCTGAGAAAAGATTTCCTAACAACCTAAATGAAGACGTTTAATCTACTAAATAAACTCTGACGAGTGTTTCCATGAACTGTGATTCATTTTTTATTGAAGATCATGAAATAACCTATTTCCTGTTTACGCTGGAGGTGTTGCAGCACGGCCTGGTTAAACCATAAACACCAACAAGCCTGCAGAGATCCGCTTGTCGATCTGACTGGAGCTGCAGCGTTGAGCTGAGCTGACTGGGCACTGCTGGCGCTTCTGCCTTCGCTCCACTCAGCACCACAGCCACCGGACTCAGTGTAATTAACATTAATGGCTCTACAAATAAAACGGAAATGATTTAAACTGGGATTCTTGGCCAGACGTGGCCAATTGCTTCCCAGACTGCTGTCTGTGTTTACTGTGGGAAACAGGAAACTGTTGTCTGACCCACAAAGTGGCAGCAAGTAGGAGATATTTGGGTTCTTTTGCTGATTCTTCTGTCCATCCAGCGGAGAAGGAATCGGGGATTTCTCTGTGCACGAGCAGCCTTTTGGCTCCATTCTGACAAACGTGTTTACCATGACCAGATCAAACCTGCCCTTTAAAACAGATCTGTCAGAAATGTCACCAGTCTCGTTAAAAATTAGACATCTGCTGCAAATATAAATCAAACGTATTTAAATCAATCATAATAAATTGCCTTTTGTTGTTTCAATTAAAAGAAGTTTACATTTACTTTTACATCCAGGCTCAAATGGCCGGAGTGACTTTTGCGTTGCCTGAACTCATTTGCACCTCTTTCTGAAACGGTGCAATCTGCACACATTTAAACAAGGCTTTCTGCTGCGTTTTAAGAGAAAAGCCATCCATGTTCATGCAAAAGTGTCCGATTCAAGCATGGTCTGCGCTCATTTCCAACCAAACACTGATGGGTAGATTGTTTTTCACGTTTGGAGTGTTTAAAGCAGCAGTAGACCCACATGGCAGCATAGAAGGCCACTGAAAGTCAGATTTACGCAAAGCGTCCCGTTTAAGACGAGGAAACAGTTTGGTCTTTCTGTCTTCTGTCCCAGCTGTGTCCATCTTCAGACACCTGAGTGCTAATTACTCCATCCTGCAGCACTTCACGTGCACGTTTGCGTTTCATTTCTGAGTCTGAGAAGGAGCAGGTATGGATTAAAGGCACAATGTGCACTTGCAATGTGCAACATTAGTACACGCAAGTGTGGGCTGAACAACTTCCTTTCACGTAAAAATCAGAGAATTAAACGTACGTGACTCACTCACAGCTCCTTCTCCATCTAACATCATTAAAACAAAACGTGTGAGTTTCACCCTGGACGGTGGTTTAAACCCTTGAGGAGCTGCTCTGGAGGCAACACGTTCTGTCAGGAGAAAATCTGACGTTTTTGAACATCCTCTCTGCACAAATTCAGCGTTTCCGTTCGCAGTAACAACACCCGACCTGGAATGTCTGAGATTCCCAGTCTCAGCCTTCCCTGCAGCCGCTGACCGACGGCACGTTGGGACTGGTCATCGTTTCTGTTACACTGCCGACACACTTGTACAAAAAAGCTACCGAACAAACGCAGCAGTTCAGATGTGCGCCCGAAGCTCGGACTGACGTGTGTGTTTTCTAACACGACAGCAGCTGCGAGCTGAAAGTCTTCTCAGGCAGGATGTTTGAACAACGAAAGCCCCCCCCCCGTTCCCCCGCAGCAGGACATGAGTGGACATCCTGCCAGCAGCGGTCCCTTCCTCTGTTATTGTCAACTATTATTAGCAAACATCCAACATCGGCTAACGCACAAGGGACTGACAGATCTCCCAGTCCTGCTTCCTAAATGATTATAATCCCAATCTCACAAAAGATGATAAATCCTCCACAAAGCCACGCCCACATTATCCACCAATAGCTGCAACCTCCAGGAAAGGTGTGTGTGTGTGTGTGTGTGTGTGTGTGTGTGTGTGTGTGTGTGTGTGTGTGTGTGTGTGTGTGTGTGTGTGTGTGTGTGTGTGTGTTCCCAGACGGACATTCCTGCTGACTCCTCGACCTCATCCAGCTGAAGTTAGGTGCTCGAGTTTTTGTGTTTTAGTGTTTCAGCCACAAACTCATGTAAGTGGTCTCTCTCTCTCTCTCTCTCTCTCTCTCTCTCTCTCTCTCTCTCTCTCTCTCTCTCTCTCTCTCACACACACACACACACACACACACGCACACACTCTTGGGAAAATATACCTTGTGTCCAGCTGTGCTGATCCCACTGCCCGTCAGCTCCAAGCTGGGAAAACGCAGAGAAATGTTTCACTGGGAAGAGAAGAAATCCTGATAAGATTTCTGACCGCCGACCCACCGCAGGGGTTTGTTTTGACACGATTCCTCACCATAGGGCGTTGGCGGAGACACGGGGAAGGCTGGCGTTGGGGGGACGGCGTCAGAACTGTCCATCTGGCTGCAGTAGTCCACACTGTTCGTTTTGTAGAGATGTCCACGCTTAAAATGAAGACAGACACAAAGAAGATCTTTGAACAAACCAGATAAAGGTCAAAAACTAGTTTTTTGTCCGAGCTTTTAGCATAAACACACACCAGCAGACATCAGTCTTGTGATCTGGGTGGCTGCTGTCTGTGTTTTGGTGTAAACAGTCGGGTCTTTCATGACACACAAGTAAAAGTCTAAGAAGAGAAAAGTCATCCGAGCAGAAGACAGATAAGTTTGGACACGATCACCCAAACTGCTGCACGGAAACCGAAAGGGATTTTCCTGAAAAGAATTTTTCCCCCGCATTTTAAGGGTTTTCTACAAGAAATGATTCTTCCTGAGCTGTCAGGGTTGCTCAAGATGCTCTTCAGGGGAGGTCATCGTCGTCTCTCATTAGCTGGAGATTTCCAAAAGCCTCAGCTGGATGCAACTGTTCAGGTTGCAAGACAATCCGCACTTTTGATGGAATCAGTCGGAAGTGGACATTGTGCAAATTAGCTTTTAGCTAGTTTAGCTCCAAACTGTTTTCATCGTTTTAAATTCATTCATTGGTCCCAGTTTTGCTGCCGAGCCCTTTCAAGGTTATTTTGCATTCCTTGTACTCTTTGCCTCTGAAACTGAAACACAGATATCTGCAGCAACTCAAGCAAAGAGGCAGAAATCTTCTAGACATTTAGAAAACTCCCTCATGATTACAGCAAAGGTTTCAGCCCAGTGAGAAACTGGTTTAGCATCTTGTTATCAGATAAAATGCAGAAAACTAGTGTCTCGCTGAGCTGCCGCTGTTGGGAACTAAACATAGCAAGTAAAAAATGAATGTTTTAATTTGAAATAACTCTGACTTGTTACTTAATTTTGCACGAGTCAAACCACAAAGAAAACGCAGCATTTAGGGTGATTTGTGCAAATTTTGCACATTTCTCGCCACAAAGTATCTAAATGTTGAGTCTGTTTATTGGGAGTTTTGTTGCCAGCTCTTACACGTTATCTTGTGTTTCTCAGAAACTAAAGGGTTCCCTAACATGTGTGATGATTATGGGACTTTTTTGAAAAAGGTTCTGTCCTGAGAATCTTTAGAAATCCGGGAGTCTCAGGAGTGACGCGCGTGGGAACCGAGGGCCTTCAGAAATGTTTCCAGCCATTTTGGAAACACCATCTGCAGCCAGGTGAGGTTCTGGCTCAACAACATGATGGTTTGGAATAGCGGTTCCCAAATTAGGAGTCAGGGGCCCACTGTGGACCACCAAGAGCTACCGGGGGCAGTCTTGGGATGACTTCCAGAAATTAATAATTGCCGAAGCAAAAAATTTTAACTCATTCGCTGCCAGTTTCTCACCGTTTTTACTGTTTTTTTAAGACTCACAGAACGTTGAGCGCTAGGATGATGTCGACGCCAAAACAACCAAAACAAAGCGGAGACTCACCTCTTACATCAGGAAGAATCCGCACGTTTCAAGCGTTTTCCGTTCTTTCATAATCCGTTGTTGAATTGTGATCGGCAGAAGCTTTCCCGGGTCGCGCCTCACTTTTTTTATAGCAGCGGCCCAAAACGATCTCCTAACACATGGATTTTCTGCTTCTTGGTCACGTGACGTGTGACGTATGCGGATGAAGATCGGCTTCAGAGCTGAGATGTTTGTTCTCACGGTGCGGGGGCTCGTCCGACGCCCACACAAATAAAAACATGCAAATGACGACTTTAGTCGTCAATGGCAGTGAATGAGTTAACGTAATGTTCCAAAATCCCAGCTAAATTGCCATAAAGGGATATTAGTGAGCATGAGCTGAAGTGTTTTCCTTTGTGCTCTGAATTGTCTTGAGCTTGTTTGTTTTGTCACATCAGAGACATCTGGGCTCGCATACCTTGATGATTGCCTTTTTTATGGGTCCAAAGCTGAAAAGTTTGAGAATCACCGGTTTAGAGCATTAATCGTATCAGAGGTAAATATATAATGTAAGTTTTATTCTTTTCCCCTCAGAAAGCTAGCTTTAGCGTTAGCACTATCCTGCTAGCGCACATGGCGATAGGAAGCCTAAGTCACTTCCGAATTACGGGTCCTCGGAAGAATGAAATAAAGAATGCAAGTCAACGGGGCTAAAAACGCTATTTTCTAATCCGCTTTGCCTTACGCCCTGGATCACACATATTTGTTGTACTGCAATGTAAACGAAAGGTGATGATGGGTGTTTCGACCACGCCAGTCACGTACTTTGAGATTTATCAGCTTGTAAAAGTTCGTAATTAGCATGACTACACACCAGAAATCAGCACGTTGCATTTGTGACGTCACCACATAATCTCCTCCCCCTAGCGTAGCTGCTACTCACCACATGACCAGATTTATGGTGGTTCTTTCCTCCTGTGGGACGTTTACAGAATTTACAGCCCTATTCCCTCAGTTTTCTCCGTGTCTGGTTCGATGACGTCACTTCCGAGAAGCGCATTTGTAGTCCTGGACTTATTTTCACACAAAACCTAAAATTGCGTTCCCCCCCCCCCTCCCCCTTCATCTTCCTGATCATGAAGCCCCACCTGAGAGGATGAGAAGGAGATGCTGTCAGCTGAGGAACCCTTAAAGCTCTGAGCTCCACCTCCTCTCCATCCTGGACTCTGAGGGCCGCCGTAGTCCGCCATGTCGCTGGTCTGCTTCTGCTGTTTCCACCCTGATAGAGTGAGAGGGGTGAGACAGGAGTGAGGCAGACAGGCAGATTATAATCTGACAGCTTGTGAATCAGACCCACGCATGTTGTTACTACAGTGAACGCTCACTAACAGTTATGTCTAGTCTGGTGAAATAACAAACACAACTGACTCTTTGCCGTGGGCGGACGCCGCCGTGGCCATAAAGGGTGATGACAGCGACGCGTGTTTACTGTGTTTGTGTCAGACAGAAGCTTCCATCAGCAGATGTCGGTGTGATTATCCAGGTACGGCTCCTGTGACTAAGTGGGCCCTCACTGGGAGCAGATGGTGGAAAGAACATCTGCTGCTGTCTTTGCAGATGTGAGTAAATCATCATCATCTTCATCCTCATCCTATGAAAGTCAGATATCTGCTCCGTGGAACCAAGATAAAACATTTTGTTGAGTACCACAATAACTGATGTGCTTTATAAATAAACGTCCTTGCCTATGCTTACTATTACTACCACTAATACTATTACTACTGTTATTACGTTACTAGCATGACCCTATTGCTCCAAAAAACTAAAAATATTTACATTTCTGATGCTTTTTTGACCAAAAAAAATCTTCTCTATGTAGAGACAATAAAAATTTTCTGAGTGTTTTACTATATATATATATATATATATATATATATATATATATATATATATATATATATATATATATATATATATATATATATATGTATATGTATATATATATATATATATATATATATATATATATATATATATATATATATATATATGTGTGTGTGTGTGTGTGTGTGTGTGTGTGTGTGTGTGTATATATATATATGTATATGTATATATATATATATATATATGTGTGTGTGTGTGTGTGTGTGTGTGTGTATATATATATATGAATATATATATGAATATATATATATATATATATATATATATATATATATATATATATATATACATACATATATACATATATATACATACATACATACATACATACATATATATATATATATATATATACATACATACATATATACATATATATGTACAAATATACATACATATATACATATATATATATATACACACATACACACACACACATACATATATATATACACACATACACACACACACACACATATATATATATATATATATATATATATATATATATACATATATATATATATATATATATATATATATGCATATGCATATACATATATATATTTATCTATATATATATATATGTATGTGTATGTGTGTGTACCTGCATAATAATGTATACCTTTAACTTATAAATCCTCTCCACTTTGACACTCTTGGATGAATTAATTAGTTAATTAGTTACTTTTAGTTTCTAATATCTTCCACAGAATCATAAAACAACAAAATGCTGAAACAAGTATGTCATATTGTTAAATAATGAGCGCTCGGCTTTCATCCCGATCATCCATCGCTCCAAAATCTGATGAAAGCAGAGATGGAACGAGTCTCCTGATCTAATCCCACCAGTGTCCCATCGGCAGGAGCTTCCTCTGAGTTTGTACAGTCTCAAGTATCACTCCATGTCCTCCAAGGACTAAACTCTTTTCAAGACGATGATGAGAGGGCGACAGAGATGTGTGACAACTTCAAAAGCATTCCTGAGCTCTTACAAGCTCCTAACGTCTCCTGAATGACACTCAGCTCTGAACGTGCCCTGAGGAAACGTCAGACTGCCGCACCTTCACACACTCCACCTGCATGTGACAAACGCTCACCAACTCCACTCCAACATCGGCTGATAGAGGAGAGGTCACATTGTGGTAGAAACTCAACTCCACAAACAGATCTCAGGTCAGCTCTCAACGCTCAGAGGTTTCCCTGCTCTGAGCTCAGTTTAAACAAGCTCGGAAAAAATATCAAAGTTAGTTACGAAAGAGTCTCGTAAAGCATTCAGCTTAGAGGTTCTGAGATGTTTGTTGTCGTTTTAGAATAGAATAGAACAGAACAGAAAAGATCAGAATAGAACAGAGCAGAATAGAATAGAACAGAACAGAATAGAATAGAATAGAATAGAATAGAATAGAATAGAATAGAATAGAATAGAATAGAATAGAATAGAATAGAATAGAATAGAACAGAACAGAAAAGATCAGAATAGAACAGAGCAGAATAGAATAGAACAGAACAGAACAAAACAGAACAGAATAGAATAGAATAGAATAGAATAGAACAGAATAGAATAGAATAGAATAGAATAGAATAGAACAGAACAGAAAAGATCAGAATAGAACAGAGCAGAATAGAACAGAACAGAACATAATAGAATAGAATAGAATAGAATAGAATAGAATAGAATAGAATAGAATAGAATAGAATAGAATAGAACAGAAAAGATCAGAATAGAACAGAGCAGAATAGAATAGAATAGAACAGAACAGAACAGAATAGAGTAGAATAGAATAGAATAGAATAGAATAGAATAGAACAGAATAGAATAGATCAGAATAGAATAGATCAGAATAGAACAGAGCACAAGAGAACAGAACAGAACAGAATAGAATAGAATAGAACAGAATAAAATAGAATAGAACAGAATAGAATAGAATAGAACAGAACAGAACAGAACAGAATAGAATAGAATAGAATGGAATAGAATAGATCAGAATAGAACAGAGCACAATAGAACAGAATAGAACAGAATAGAATAGAACAGAACGGAATAAAAAAGAATAGAACAGACTAGAACAGACTAGAACAGAATAGAATAGAATAGAATAGAATAGAATAGAATAGAATAGAATAGAATAGCCTTTATTGTCATTGCAACAAGTACAACGAAATTAGAGGCAATCCCTGTGTCCGAAATCCGAAACAAATATTAGATTAAAAATTTTTATATATTTGAAAAGATAAAAAAAAATCTAAAAAATATATAAAAAAAGAATAAAATAGGAGAGCAATACTGCACTTGAATCATTTCACACTGACTGTGTGTGGAGGACAGCTATCAATATATACCGTATTTTCTGGACTATAAGCCGCTACTTTTTCCCCACGCTTTGAACCATGCGGCTTATAATGAGGTGCGGCTTTACTGAAGATCTTCCTTCACCTGCAGGGGGCGCTTTAGTAGAAAGTGAAACAGGTGGAAGTCATAAGTGGAAATCGAAGAAAGTGCTCATCTTAATTTAGCACATGCAAGCAGCCGGCACGACGAAGAATTTTTTTCAAATCCATACCCCCTCATCATGGTAACTACACGTATGAGTTCATATGATGCCGCATTTAAGTTGAAGGCCATCGATCTGGCAGTAAAGGAGGGAAACAGTGCTGCCGCACGTAAGCTTGGCATGAATGAATCCATGGTTCTGCGCTGGAGACGGCAGCGGGAAGAACTCATTCAAGCCAGCTTCACCCGGGGATGATGACAGCAACACGGACAGCGACACTGACATCGCCACAGAAAAGGTATGTGACGAAGCTCTTCTGAGGCTGTTCAACTCCGACACTGAAGAAGAGGAAGGACTTTAATGGCTTTAGTGTGCAAGAGGAAGATGAGAGCGAATGACTTCTTCTGGTAGGCAAGTGTGTTTTATTTACTAACCAGGCATGTTTTGTGTGCAGTTTGTATTTTCTAATCATCCAGGGCTTATTAATGCTGTGTCAGCGCTGTTCTTTTCTTCTAAACATGTAAATCACCGGTAATAACGTGTCAGTGCTGTTTTATTTTATAACCATCCAGAAATATGAATACTATCAGTGCTGTTTTCTTTTCTACACTTGCAGGCACGTTCACCCATGTTTAAAATGTGTTTTGTTGCAGGGGAGGGGGAGGTCCAGGAGAGGGAGGACCCAACCTTACCTGGATGTCCTATGTCTTATATATTCTGGAAGTTGTGCAAATGCAGGGATGGGCATAGATATTCTGCTGGGGTGGGGCTGGGTTGGTGCCCTCGGACTCCGTGAGGCTCTGTAATGCTGCTGCTTTGGGCCCTGGCAGGATGGGCTGGGGTCTCCATGCCCTGGGTGCCAGTTTGACAACAGTTTGGGGCCAGTAGGGGAGCTGAATCCCTGGAGGGCTAAGCCCAACCAGCCATTCCTCCCCATCCCCGCATGTATCTCTCCTCCTGCTCCCTCACATCATCACGCAAACATACACATAGGACCTTGGGGGGTGGGCAAGTCAGGGAGTGCGGGTATGGACCCCATTTCCGCATTCCTGTGGCAACCTGCCCCCCAATTTTATTTGCACCTTATACACTTCCACTGACGACATTCCACGCAAACACACACTTAGGGCCTTGGGAGTGAGCACATTCAACGGCATTTGGCAGGGGGATATCTCAGCCTCCTCCCGGGTGCCGGTGCCCACTTCCAATTTTAAACCGCACTTAGACACTGAGGGCTGAGGGTGTAAGTGGGGTGGTGCGGTGGCATCAGCTGGCATAGGCCGGATGATGCCCGCACTGCCCGCTCACCACAGCCATGGAATACACCTCATGATCACACAACACTGTATTGGAGCAGGCGGAGGGAGACTAGGGGTCTTAGCCACCTCTGTTGTTGCTTGGCTTCCTGGGGCTGGAGGCTAGGAGGGAGATCTGGCCGTCTGGTAGGGGTCTGGGGTGGTAGATTGCTGTGCTGAGCGTTGGGTGGGGGGGCCTGCTCATCAGTACCCCAGCAGAAAGGGTCAAACTCTGGTAACCGGTGATGGTTGTACCCAATGTGCAGCAGTACCGGGACCAGAGTGAATAGGGTGTGTATGGGGAGCATGAGTGGGTGTCTGGTGTTCATTTTTGTAAGTCTTAGGTTGTATGTGCATGTGTGAGCATGAGGGAGGGAGTGTGTGACTGTGTTTGGGTATGACTGTATATGTCAGGTGGGGCCTTTGACTCCTCCCCTCTCCTGGAACTTCTTTTGATGATATAGATCTTCGTCCCCCCTCCCCCTGCCACACCTGGTGTGAGGGGTTGTGGCAACCGGGTCTGGGGGTTTAAGATTTTGGCATCT